CCTGATGTTTTAGAACACTAATTTTTTTTTATGTCCTACAAAAGAAATTGCATTTTAAAAGGCTTTAACACACAATAAGACATCAATATGTCAGTCTATCTTCAACATTTTGGTTGAGTTTCTTATTTTTCTAAATCTGTTAATTTTTACAAATCATTTCTAAATACCACTAACACTTAAATGGTTCGTGAAAGGGATCCCTTACCTTCCCATTTCTAGTCCTCATATAATGATCCCTTGCTCTGAATTATAAATCCAAAGGGAAAATTATATTGAGAGTTTAACCCAAATCAGTGAAGAGCCATACTGGATTTTGTTCCCTTTCAATGACATAGTATTATTTTAAATATGTATATATTCATACACTTTTACGTAGAGAAAAAGATATAAACAACATATACTGAGAGACATATTATGCAGAAATAACCTATCCTCCCTCACCATCATTTTGAAATCCATTTCTATCTGCTCATTTTACTTACCAAAAGAAGATAGCAAAAGAGAAAAAAAAGCCATAAATTTACATTAGCAAATCACATAGCAAACTGGATTTTAGGCAGAAAGTTTTAATGATCTATGCTTTAGACTAAGGCTCTAACTTTAATTTAAAAAAGAGCAAAAGCAAACCACCATTAGGTAGCCTCATAATTATGAGGTCATCACTCTTTTTCCCCCCACAAAAAAATTATACATGTTGTTATGTATAAAACACTTAAGAGATAAGAGCAGAAAATTTTATATGCAGCACTTAAGATCTTCAGTACTTCTTTTTATATTATTCTGGCAAAAGGACCTTCTACATAAGTAGTTTATTTTCCTAGATTGATTGAAAAACATATACTGTGCATCTTCCTCACTGATAAGAAAGAGAATGAACGATTACATGAGACCCATGTAACAAACAAGCAACTTCAAAAACACAGGCCCAGGACAGGAGACAAGATGGTGGAGAAAAGACAGCGACTCACCTGAGCTCTCCCCAAAACCCCTCTAAACACACTTAAATAATGCCATAAAACAATTCCTGAAGTGGTAGAACTCACAAAAGGATGGGATGAAATAATTTTCCAGCCAAAGACAACTTAGAAGGTTGGCAGGAAAGGTCTGTCACACCTGGGTGAGAGGGGAGCACAGTCCAGTGCAGGCCATGCCAGAGAAGACTGGGCTCCAGTGAATCAGGGGCAGACCTTGGGAGCCACTGATTCAGCACCAGCAGGGGCTACTTCTGGAGCTCTCAGCCCACAGATGGTAAGGGGGTAGAACAACTGATTGGACTACAGGGGTTTCTTTGCTGGCACTGGGGGATGGGACTCTGTTGCTTTGCCCATACATTTCAGGCATGATCCTGGGTGGCATTCCCAGGGCAAGAAAGAGCACTAGCACACCAGAGTTGCAGCTGCAAGGGAGCAGGGACCCTTGTCACAGTTCAAGGGGAGAAAAGAATGCTGGTGGTCACTCACAGACCAAAGCATGGGCCAGAAGAGTAGTAAATATATGTCTCCTTAGATCATACCACCTTGGAAGAACTTAAAACTTGCAGGTTCCTAGAAATATCTCTGAAAACAGCTGCATAAAACCCCTGAAGCTTGGGACAATGCACCCTCCACCCTGGAAACAGAGCACCATTTTAACAGAGAGTTAAAGGTCAAGTAATGGGCTGGGAAACTGAGCAAACAACAGAAAAAAAATTCTGACTATAGAAGTTACTATGGGGACAAGGAAGATCAAAACATACTCAGAAAAAGATAACAAAGTCAAAGCTCCAACATCGAAAGCCTCCAAGAAAAATATGAACTGGTCTTAGGCCATGGAAGAGCTCAAAAAGCACTTTGAAAATCAAGTAAGAGAGGCAGAAGATAAATTGGAAGAGAAAATGAGAGTGATGCAAGAAATTCATGAGAAAAGAGTCAACATCTTGGTAAAGGAGACACCAAAAAATACTGAAGAAAACACCTTAAAAATAGAGTAGGCCATGGGGGCAGCTAGGTGGCACAGTGGATAGAGCTCTAGCCTTGGAGTCAGGAGTACCTGAGTTCAAATCTGATCTCAGACACCTGACACTTACTAGCTGGGTGACTCTGGGCAAGTCACTTAATCCCAATTGCCTCACCAAAAAGCAAAAACAGAGTAGGCCAAATGATAAAAGAGGTACAAAAAGCAGAATGCCTTGAACAGTAGGATTGACCAAATGGAAAAAGAGGCACAAAAATTCACTGAAAAAAAAAAACTTCTTAAAAAGTAGAACTGGTCAAATGGAAAAGGAGGTACAAAAGCTTACTGAAGAAAATAATTCCTTAAAAATTAGAATTGAGCGAATGGAAGCTAATGACTTTATGAGACATCAAGAAACAACAAAACAAAACCAAAAGAATGAAAAAAAATAGAAAACAACATAAAATATCTTATTGGAAAAAGAACTGACCTGGAAAACAGATCCATGAGAGATCATTTAAAAATTATTGGATTACTTGAAAGCCATGATCAAAGAAAGAGCCTAGATATCATCTTTCAATAAATTATCAAGGAAAACTGCCTTGATATTCTAGAACCAGAGAGTAAAATAGAAATGGAAAGAATCCGCCAATCATCCCTTGAAAGAGATCCCAAAATGAAAACTCCTAGGAATATTACAGCCAAATTCCAGGGCTCCCAGCTCAAGGAGAGAATATTGTAAGCAACCAGAAAGAAACAATTTGGGTATTGTGAAACCAGAGTCAGAATAACACAAGATTTAGCAGCTTCTACATTAAAGGATCAGAGGGCTTGGAATATGATACTCTTGAGGGCAAAGGAATTAGTATTACAACCAGGAATCACCTACCCAGCAAAACTGAGTATAATCCTTCAGGGGGGGAAATGAACATTTAATGAAATATAAGACTTTCAAGCATACTTGATGAAAAGACATGAGCTGAATAGAAAATTTGACTTTCAAATACAAGTCTCAAGAGAAGCACAAAATGGTAAACAGGAAAGGGAAATCATAAGGGACTTAATAAGGTTAAACTGTTTACATTCCTACATGGCAAAATGATAACTCATAAAAACTTTCTCAATATTAGGGCACTTAGGAGTATATATATAGACAGAGGGCACAGATATGAGTTGAATATGAAGGGATGATATCTAAAAAAAATAAAGGGTGAGAAAGAGGAATGCACTGGGAGAAAGGGAAAGGGAGAGGTAGAATGGGGTAAATTATGTCATATAAAAGAGGCAAGAAAAAGCTTTTATAGAGGGGGGTGAGTGAACCCTACTCTTGTGGCTCAAAGAGAAAATTACACACTCAATTGGATATAGAAATCTATCTTACCCTCCACGAAAATAGGAGAGGAACGGGACAAGAGAAGGGGATGGGGGTGATAGAAGGGAGGGCAGATTGGGGAAGATGATAGTCAGAAACAAAACACTTTTGAGGAGGGACAGGGTGAGAGAGAGAATAGAATACACAGGGAGGAAGAAAATAGGATGGAGGGAAATACATTTAGCAATCATAACTGTGAAAAAGATTTCAAACCAAGTTTCTCTGATAAAGGCCTCATTTCTCAAATATATAGAGAACTGAGTCAAATTTATAAATATAAGAACCATTCCCCAACTGATAAATGATCAAGATACATGAAGTTTTCAGATGAAGTAATCAAAGCTAGATAGCCATATGAGAAGGTACTCTAAATTGCTATTTATTGGAGGCATGCAAATTGAAACAATTCTGAGGTACTACTTCATACCTATTAGGTTGGCTAATAGGACAGAAAAGGAGAATGACAAATGTTGGAGGGAATGTGGGAAAAAAGAGACATTAATGTACTGTTGGTGGAGTTGTGAACTGATTCAACCATTCTTTAGGGCAATCTGGAGCTATGCTCAAAGGACTATAAAACTATGCATACCCTTTCACCTAGCAGTGCCACTGCTACTAGGTTTATACCCAAAAAGAGATAAAAACAAAGAGGGAAAGGATTTATATGTACTGAAATATTTATAGCAGTTCTTTTTTAGTGGCAGGGAGTTGGAAATTGGGAGGATGCCCATCAATTGGGGAATGGCTGAACAAATTATGCTATGTGATTATGTTGCAATACTATTGTGCTATAAGAAACGATGAACAGGATGCTCTCAGAAAAACCTGGAAAAACTTACATGAGCTGATGCAAAGTGAAACATACTGTGTACAAAGTAACAGCAATATTGTAAGATGATCAACTGTGAACGCCTTAGGTATTCTCAGTAATAGAATGATCCAAGACAACTCTGAAGGACTTAGGATGAAAAATGCTATCCATACTCAGATAAGGAAGTGATGGTATCTGAATACAGATTGAAGCATACTTTTTTACTTGTTTTATTTTTCTTGAGGATTTTTTTTGGTCTACGTTTTCTTTCACAGCATGATTAATATGGAAATATTTTTGCATGTCTACACATGTATAACATATATAAAACTGTTTGCTTTCTCAATGAGGGTGGTGGGGAGGGAGGAAGGGAAACAATTTAGAACTCAAAAATTTTAAAAAACGAATGTTCAAATTGTTTTTGCATGTAATTGGGGAAAATAAAATACTAAATAAATTTTAAAACCACAGACCTACTGTTCATCAAGATGTAACTGGGCTTAAAATATCATAGTTTAGGAATATCCCATTACTTTCAATTTAAATCATTTTCAATGTGAATAATTTTAATTTTATTTTCAGTTCCAATAGCCACTTCGTTACTAGGCCAGAATTTTAAAAAGCAGTTGTGAGAACACATGGATTTTCTGCACTTATTGTAATCAGTATTTTAAAAATGCAACATGTATACATAATATCGTTTGTTAAAACACACACACATACATACACACACACATGTACACCCGCCAAAAAAAAACCAAGAACCCATCCAAATAAACAAAGAAACATGATAAAGTTAGGTTTCATCTCGTGCAGAAAAAAATCATCATTTGGAAACCAAGAGCTTCCTAGTAGTCTGAAAAATAAATAAAATGGTTAACACAATTAGATCAAACCCTTTCTTGTTTTGTTTTGTTTTTAATGAGATCCTCTTATCATTGTACACATGGACTCACAGAAGTCTGATTACCCTTACTGTTATGCCAAACAAGTTGAGTTAGAGCTTACAGATGATAACCATGATACTTTTGAACAATACATGGAAATGGATAATAAATTTATTGAGTCACAAGATGATTCTGGTACCAGTCTTTTTTTTTTTTCATCTAGTTCAGTTTCCTGTAATACTCAATAGACATCAATCACAAAGAAACATCTGACACAAACTATCAAGCCCAGCGTCCACTTGAGGCAAAGCTTCTGCTGAACGAGAAGCTGACATCCGAGTTTTTGTATTTTCCCCAGGCACCAAAAGGCACTACTACTGCGGTGCCATTATCTTCAGTACCATACTGGATTGCCTATAGCATTTGGTGGAAGAAAAACAAACACAGGAAATTACAGTGCGCACAAAGAAATTTAACTATTGTAGATGTATTTTAAATCCACACATGCTCTTTGGATGACTGGTAGTTCTAAGTTCAGTCATGGCTTCAACCGGCCTCAAATATTTTTGCTATTTTCGAGCCACTGCACTAGTGAACAAATTCCACATAACTGGTTATGATAATCGTGCAGGATCATAGCATGTCAGAAATAGAAGGCATCAGAGGATCAGATTTAAAGCTGAAAGGGACCCCAGAGGCCACCTAATCTACCCCCCTCCTTTTACAGACAGAGAAACAGACATAAAAAAGCAAAGTCATTTGTTCAAGGTCACATGAGTAATTAAGGGGTGGACCCAGAAACCTGGCTTCTAAATGCAGTGGTGTTTACACTAGACTCCATGACCACTCACAGACTTCAAGATAACTTTGATAATGAGATCGGCTGTTTATTTTTCTAATATAAATACAAAGAGTATAAAATTATCCTTTTGGCATTTGTAACTTGATGGTCAGGGATTGATTCAAATAACACACTATTCAGAACTACAGGAGACGGTTGGCACTGTATTAGATATATATCTAATGTATTTTAAATGAGCTCACAAAACTACATCCATTAACATATTCCTAAGTGGGTGAATCACCAATATGTTCATGTTTCCAATTCCATACACAGCGATACCATATTTAACTAGCAACTTCATCTAGCTAGGAAATAGACAAGAGGTAGGAAGGAACAAGCAACTTAACAAATTTGAGTCACTCAAATTATTCCCTGAAAATCCTTCTAATTTCAAAGAAATCAAACAAAATTATTGCTAGTTAACTGCCTAATTAATATTTTCCAAAATCAGTATATTAGTTTTACATAATTAATAGCCATAATACTGTAGGGTAGAATTTTTAATGAATTACATACACTCTTTATTGTACGGTAATTCCCTTTAGTAATTGACGCATGTGATATCCACGCCTAGCTTACAGGACTTTCCCAAGGAGGACTGTCCGGTTTAGGGGAAAGAGGTCAAGTCAAGACAACTGAATTCTAGGTCCTGGTTCTGGCACTACCTCACTGTGTGACCCTAAGCTAATCACTGAACCTCTCTGGGTTTGTTTCTCCCTCTGTTAACTGAAGGAATTGAACTAGAGGAGTTTTACAATTTCTTATAAGCTCTAAAACATAAAGCAAAACGTGTGAAATTAAAACATGTAAAAAAGAAAAAATGTTTTTCTGTATGATGGCTATAATCCAAGTAGAATCTATCATTTATACAAGTAACCTTGGAAAGAAAAAAATTGAACTGAAACATTAGAGAGAATTTTTCTGTTCTCAAAAGCCCACGTGGCAGTTAGAGAAACTGGAAGTGGATTAAAGCCATGCCTTTGACATATGATGTCTTTATCACCTCTCAGTGCCAAGGCAGCTGGCTCTATGAGCTTATGTTACACAGGAGGGGCTCAGCTAGAATGGGGGAGGGGGTTTCCCCACCAGAAGTTCCTTACACTAATGAAATCATAGGTTGGCACAAAAACATGAAGTTCTTCTATTCTATGCTGAGACTTCCACTTTTGGTCATCTCACATAATTGCTCTCGAATAATTTCTCATGAAAATAGAACTGAAGCCACTCTGCCACATTACCTGTTCAGTTATGACATGGGCTGCTTCGTTGGGGTCATGGCACTGATTGACAAAGTCACAGATCTCTTGACTATTTACCATGAAGTTAATTCCATCTGTAGTGAGGACCAGGAAGCTATCATCAGCATGCTGCAGCTATAAATGAACCCAAACGCAATTATCAAGCAGAGTTTACTTGAGAATGACAGTGAATACTGACATACTTTATTTGTTGTTGAGTAGCCATTTACATACCAAAATTGCAATAATTTAAAAAATACTTTTTATTCCTTAACAGCAATCAGAACAATATAACTGAGAAGGCAGAGGAATAAATATCTATCTTTCCAGGGAGAAAAAAAATGATAACACTACCCACCCTTCTACCCTTCTAACCTTGTACCCTTCTCCTCTTCCTTCCTTTCCTTCCTTCCCTCCTTCCCTTCCTCCTTTCCCTTGCCTTCCTTTCCTTCTTGGTATTTTTTTTCAATTTATATAAATACCATTCATAATCATGTGCCGTGCTTTTTTAACAAGATCACATACAACTTCTTTTTTTAAATTTTTCTTATTTTTAATTTATGGAATAGAAGAAGCATTTCCATAACATAGTACAATAAAAAAAATAATTGCACATGAAATTGCAAATCGACTGTGCACACCTTGTTATTTCTTTCAAATATACAACAAAATTATCATGTAAATTTCTTTTTTTCTTCTCAAGTTACTATAGCATTTGTAAAGCAATCCAGGCAGTATTACAATACAGTATGGAGAATTTATCTACAAGTCTTAATCTAACTGCATCAAATATCAATAACAGAGGAATATTTGTAATACAAATAATGACAGGAGTTAAGTATAATCATCAATACCATATCATCTACTTGCTATAAGCTACCATTCATATACAACATAAGGTTTGCAAAGCACTTTACAAATATATTTTCTCATTTGACTTTCATAACAATCCTATGACTTGGGTAGTTCATGTATTATTTTTAAATGGGAAAACTGTGTCTCAGAGCAGTTAAGTGACTTATCATGCTCATGGTCATATAGCCTCATGACGAGGCCTTGTTCCTCATATGAAACCCAACCATTCCTCTTGAAAACTCTTCTTTAAGTTTTCTTGGTGGACACTGATGTATTCAAACAGATGGGTGACCCAGGCTCATGACCGTCTTTATCTCGCCTAAAGATGCCTTTCTCTCTACTTACAAGTTTGATTTATTCCAGGAGTTGATATTTAATGGTGGCAGTGGTAGTATTCATCAGAGATTATATCTTACCTATCCTGGGAATGAGCTTCTGGACACCCTCGTGCTCGCATGGACCCAAGTCCCCAGCCACTGGACCAGTAACTACCTACTCCCACTTGAATCTGGACTGTGTCATTTTCAGTTGAGTCACCTCTTTAATGGAGACTATTGATAAAGACCCACCGGCAATTCAGGATATACTTCATCTGCCCTCCCACCCCTTAAGTGAACTGCAACCAGTCAAATGGCTCTGCAGCACAGTTTGGATGCTTTCAAGTTCTAGGACCTGATCCCCAAAAACTGCTGGCTACAGTAGGGTTCTTTGGTAAGGATAAAATCAACTATTTAAAGATGTCCCTTAACAAAGCAGGGCCAAAAATCAAACACTCTGAATAGGACTCCTTTAATCAGTGACCATTAGAAGCCATTAAGAGGGAAATAGAATCTAGGCTTTTATACCCCCAAGAAAACATTTAAAAATTCAAAACTGAAAAGAAGGAGGCTGAATCTAAAATATTTCTCCTCCAAAAAGGATTAGGCCAATTAGAATCTCAAAAGAAAGAAAATGAAACTAAAACTGAGTCTCTCAAGACACATGAAAAGACCTGAGGGGGTACTCAAGAATCTGAATAATCTATATTTCTATATTAGCTGTATGTGTGTGGGTATCCCAGAATTTGACCTAAAAAGGCCTTTCTTGTGGACATACTCAGTTACTTTTTTAAGGAAGCTGCAGCCTTTTTGTCTGTCTTTGTAGAGTGTTAAGTGTACTGTTTGTATTTGTGTGTGTGTGAGACTGGAGACAGCTAGTAACCCAGACTGAGAGCTGTGTTTGTTATGTGCTTCTATGTGCTTTTCAAATACATGCTTCAGGAGAAAGCCTAGCAGGGTGGAGGTTTGAACCCACCTGTCCTGTTAGCAGGGACTTAACTCTCTAGGGATAAGGATGAAGACTGCCGGCAAAGTACCTCTGTGTCCTTTCTGTCATATTATTTATGTTTAAAGTCATTTCTCCCACCCATGCAACGCCATATGGCCCCTCGGAGGGGAATTCAGGCCACTCAAGAGAACAAATCACAAATTAAACTGAAAGACTTATGCCTAAGCGAGCTCAAGAATTTTTCCACATAATGGGAATTAAGAATAGCAAAAGCAACATAGCCAATGGGATTTCCTTAAATGAGCCAGAGGAAACAAAAAATGGAAAAGCAATTAGATCATCTAAAAACTCCTCCCCTTTGTCTAAGCAGGATAATGTGATTTTTATTAGATGATATAAACCTTTCTCTCCTGATCTCTGCATTTGAAGAAGTAACATCCCTGTGTTTGATGAAGTTTCAGGAGACAGTACAAGAGGGAAAGAATCCTACTCATTTTTACAAAAGCCAATGGAAAAGTGTTAACCTATATTCAAAGCTGGATCCCTTTGGCCTATCTGTACCCATTTGCTAAAAACATTTCTATAACTGATACCTTAGTTGGTATAGTATGCCTGTTCAGCACATCAAATATGTTGCATTATATACTTTCTATGAGGAAAAGGACAGGAGAAAGGAAAAGAGGGGCAGAAATTGGACAAAGATCAGGCCCCAAGATCCCAGCCCTAGTTTTTCTCCATGTGTTCCCCCTTCACACTCTTTTCCCACCAATTTTAGAAGACTGAATTACTACTCTTTTTATCAATAAGGTATCCAGTAGTAAGGTGACAAATGGTAGCAGATTAAAGCTAAATGTGGAAAGAAATTTTGTTTTTAACTCAGAGAAGCAGCAGCTAGAGAGTAAGTAATCTTCCTGTTTTTATGGCAGCTAAAACTTTAATTGGAAAATGATCTTGAAAACTGAAAGTTTGTAAATCCAGGTTTAACTGGATTCCAAAACTAAAGTTTGTAGTTTATGTTCAATTTAAATCTGGGGAAGTGTCTGGCTATGGTATTCTGCTCCCTACAATTTGCCCACCCAATATCTGACATCAGGGCAATGTGTTTTTATTAAGTCATTGGGTTTAACAACAATATGTCCTAAAATTACGAAGGACATATTCTGTGGAGTGAATATAGTCTGGGATATGGTTAAAATGTACAATTTGAGCAAGTAAAGGAAAGTTGTATAGTCTGAGTAACAGGTTTTGGAAATCTGGAAAGAGAGAAATAAGAAAGGTTTGAGGAAAGAATATGGAAGGTAATAAAGGAGGTTTGGGTTTTTCAAACCACGAGATAACATAAAAATGAAGAGGTTTTAAGTATGCTGAGAAGGTCTCAGGAAGTCTGACTTTGTTTAAAGTGGAAAGGTTGTTAGAAACCTTATGTAAATCAATAAAAACTGCAGCTTGATTTGAAAGCCAATACAGAGTTACAGAGGGCTAGGAGTAAACTGACAAGCAATGGGTTCTTTGTGAGATTGCAGAACCCAGATTTGAACTAAATTAAAACTGGCTCTTAAATGTGATAATGGGAGTACATTATTGCCACTTTAAAAACCTTTGGCAGTGGATTGACTGGAAATAGTGGACCCCATAATATTAAATGCTTGGGATAAATAGCCCTTGTGTAAAATATAACACTAAATAATTGAAATTATATAGTGAGATTAAAAAATAGATCCAGGTAATTGAATGTATTCTCTCTCTCTCTCTAATGAGATTTCTATTCTGCTCTTAGTTTCATGTTTATACAAATTTATTATACCCTCAATCTAGGGTCTCTTGGCCAGAAGCTGGGCCAATAGACCATAATAAAGGATACCTAGCCAGATACCTGTCTCAGTTTTACCTTTTTTGTAAATTTCTATCAAAACAGAGCTAATAGATGTGAATTTAATTTGGCAAAGCTTTATATGTACTACCTAACATGGCCAATGCAAAATTAAATATGTCTATATTGTGAAACTTTGTAACACCAACATGGATAGGAAAATAAATTCTCTTGTAATTTAAAGAGTTAGGTTATAAATTCGGTTGTTAAAGAGTTGTCTAAAGGCTACTGTCTTTGTTAAGAGTATTTTATTTCATTTGGATTACAAAAATGGGAAAAGAAAAAAATCCTTTGTTGTTTTATCCGATAAGGTGTTTGACACGGCTATAAATTTGTTTCAACTCTGCTGGTGACATGGTGTGTTCTATGATACTTAAACCTGAGGGTTATAGGGGTGAAAATACCTAGCATATCTAGTTAGAGTGAGAAAGTTTGTAGATACGTTTACGTAAGCTCCACTTAAATTTATTCGAAATGATTTTCTGTGTAAGGTAATTGGAAGATGCATTTAACTGAATTAAGGTCACCTGACTGGAAATGGGTTTTGTTTCATGTTTTGGGACTGTTAGGAATACAGCTTCTCTTCTATTCTGGACGTTGGTTGCTACATTATGAGCTGAACTGTTAAAGGAAAAGTAAATGTTTGAAAACTATTAATATTCCAAAGTACAATTTAAGACATTGGAAACTTCCAGTTCACCTAGAGTAAAGAAGAAGTTTTATCGGCTAGCCAATTAGAAAACTGAATTTCCTCCTCCACTACAAACAAGTTTTACGAGGAGGGTGGTAATTAGGTATTTGTTTAATTATGAAGTTATATCTGGAAAGGTCTATACTGAAGTTACATTTTAACTAACTTAGTCTTAACAAACTCTAATCTTAAAGATTTATTTTTGCTTTAAGGATTGAATAGAAGTTAGATATTTGTGAGTCTGCAGGCTTATAGCTATCACATACTCACTCTCTATGTGAACTTAGAAACATTATTACTTCATTAGATTCTAATAACTACCATTTTACATCAGGATGAATTTTATGCTGTTTTTGAGGAGAAATACTAGTAAGGAATGTTACGTAAAACCTTTTGTGACTCTTTTTTTCCTAGAAGGCTAATAATTTTTTATTTGCTAGCTAATTTGTTGTAACAACTTGAGAGCATTGATAACAATTATGTCCAGACCTACTGCGATCACTGAGACTGTTGCTTGTGGTGAAACCTTTTGGGATCCTGCATATTCTTTCTGAACTTTGTTTTTAAATTTGTCATGTCCTTCAGCCAATGTCTCACTGCTTCAAGAAAAAATGTCAGCAGTACAACGGGAGTGACATCTGAGATCTAAGGCCAGTGGGTATCTGTCCGTGGGAATAAAGGTTGGGAGGGTGACCTTGGAAAGACTAAAGGTTGGACCCTCCTAATTCATCTTTCCATACAAAAAAATCTTCCCACCTGGTTAATTCTGAGTCTAAGTGCACGTCTTGCCATATACTTGTGCCTATTCTTGTACATGTGTTGAATCATTCTGAGTCCTTGGACTTAGGTCTGGAGGACCAGTATTGATGCTGTTTTACATAATCATGCCACTACTTCTTCTTCTAATAACACATTTCTCTAACTAGGGCAAGTTAAACTGTGATTTTATGATGAATCTTGTTGCTGCAATCCCTTAGCACCTCTTACTGTTTTCAGTCAAAACCGTATCCTGAACAACTAAGTGGATGGGTATTTGGCCTTGTTAGCTCCCTGTTACTAGTCATATGTTTCTACACAAGATTAAAATCCTTTAGATATCTCATAATGGCATGGCATGGTATTAGCCAATAATGTAAGTATTTGTGAAATCAGGATATAATTCTATTATTTAGTGAGGTTAATATCTTATGTTTTCTGTTCTGAGTTAAAGAAAAGAATTTCATTGCAATTAGTTATCTTAAGAAAAGAGTGACTTATGGTCTATCTTGTGTTACCTTAAAGAGACACCCAATTTTATTCAGGGTTATTATTTAATGTGGGATTAACACTTGTATATAGAGAATGCTCTGAAATGCAAGTGAATTACACAAGAATCTGTAGAGGTTTTGAAAGCAGTGGTCTGTGTAGGCATAATGCCTAATTAATTTGAACATGGTTAGTAACCGAACATATTTCACTATATACAACTTATTCGATACAATCTGGAATATACCCTATCACAGCTTTTGGCTACAACTGGAACAAAATAAGTGTCTCTTAGGTAAATTCATTTATGATAGAATACTATTACATTCCTAATTACTAATTACTATTACTATTAATTACTACTACTAATACTATTACATTACTAATTACTAATACATTAGACAGAATACTATTACCTATGTGCTCTTGTACAGGATTAGTGCCTTAGCAGCTCATCCTCCTGAAGGGGGAATAAGCAACTAAAAGTGAATAATTAGAGTAAACAATGAAGCGAATAGCTAGAGTGAAAATCTTGTTTTAAGAAAAAGAAATAATAATAATAAGATCAGATATCTACATATGTCAAATAGAAAAGCTGGGTTTAGAATTTTCTGATTTTTCAGTTTGTATTTGAATTTCCTAAATATATCAACAAAACAATTTGCTAACTTTCATCACAAGGCATTATAAGTAATAAGTTGAAGTCCCTTCCCTTTCTGGGACTTGAATCTGAGGTAAAGAATAAAAAAAGATAAATGCCAAAGTTAAATGATGGTAGAGTTAATGCAAATTTAAAAGGCTTTTTTTTTTCAGTCTTATCCTACATAATTACATTGGTTAGTATCAAATTCCTAACCAGATGGGCTCATTCTACAAATTAGATATTCATAAATTCTTTTAGATTTTCCCTTCAGCCTGTTGCTGACAGGGTCTAAATCAAGTATCTGGTTTAGATAAGGATCTGAGCAGCAAGGCATATGGAAAAATGTAAATTCTTTGGTCTAGAGGTTCTTAATTTGATGTTCTTATTAGAGTTAGAGGTTTTGAACTGGTTCTTGCCACATCACCTGGTTATTGGTAAAGCAAACTTAAAGTGACTGTATTAAATGGTATTAAGATCTATTTTGCAAGAGATTTTCACAGAAATGGAATCTCTACCAGTAACCTGAACTGGAGAAGCAAACCTGCTAGAAGAAGCTGCTCTGAGACCCTACATATTCCAACAGGCTTCCCGAGAGACAGAGGACTGAATCAAGAGATGCTCTCAGAAACCAGACAGCTGTGTGAGACTTCTGAGCCCGTAGATACGACGGACTAATGAAATGGACAGTAGGAGAGGCTTACCCTTCCCTCCCCATGTGCTGTTATTTTTTGCAAGGCCAGCTTGCCAAAAAGGACTGCCCCCACTGGCTCCTGTCAATTCGTTGGTCAATCTTTCTCCCCCTTTCCCCTACACCATTTTCCTAATGTTAAATGTTTGCTATACCAGTTGATGATTCATTGAGAAGATGGTAAGTCTCAACAAATCAGAGGAGGGGAATACCAGAAAAATTAATTTTAATATTGTTAACAACAAATTTAATATTTCCTTCTCTGTCAAAAGGACATCCTGACAGCAAGATAAACCCCACTCCTCTACATCATCCTATGTCCTTACATTCTTGCTCTTGAGAAACTTTGTCTCAAACAGGGTGGGCTAGGCTCTACCCTAGGGCTCCACCCTGGGAATCCTTCTTTGAAAATAGAACTAGTGTGGGCTAGCCACAGCTACCAAAAGTGACTCCAAAATGTCCTTGCCTCCTCATTAAGGTTTGGGTAAAATTGAATCATGAAAGGTAAAAACATAGAACGAAGTGGATTTTCTTGCTTGGATTGCCAAAAGTGTCTGGGGCCTGATGACCAAGCCTCGTTCCTCATGTGACACACCCCGCCCCACAGACACACACACATACTTTTTCCTCCTTAATGTATAAAAACCTTCCTGCAATTTTTCTTGGTGGACACTGATGTACTCAAATATATGGGTGACCTAAGCTCATGAACCTCTTTATCTCAATTAAAGAAGTCTTTCCCTCCACTTATGAGTCTGATTTATTTCAGGACTTGACATTTAATGGTGGCAGTGATAGGATTCATCAGAGATTCTATTTTACCAGTTCTGGGAGTGAGCTTCTGGATGCCCTAGTGCCAGTAAGGGGCCAAGCCCTCCCCCATTGGACCTTTTCCTCCACTTATGAGTTTGACTTATTTCAGTAGTTGACATTAAGAAGATTCAACGGCAGAATGCAGATTTATATAACAGAAAATAAGCTTCTTCAGGGCAGGGACTATTTTGTTTTTGAACCTGTAATGCCTGGCACAAAGTATGTGCTTAATAAATATATGGTTGTTGAACTGAAGTAAAAGCGGCTGCCTGCCTGGAGACTTCAGTTATTAACAAGGAGCCTACCCTTGTTAGAAATAACAGTAAGCAAACATGCAAGCAGACAACCTTGGGAAACTGAATAAATGTGTCACCGTTTCCTTCCTTACATAGGCCATGCAAAATTACCTCTTTTTCTTTAAATAATTTTTCAGGCCTTTCCATTCTCTCTTAACATAGGCATTTCATTTAAATCCATACTCTTGGAAAACCTCTAATGGATTTCTCTTTGTTTCAGGTCAATGACTACACAACTCATGCTGTCAAACAGTCTCTTACCTTAATCCTTTTGGTTTCAGGTTCTGCTATCACACCACTGTTTTTGAGATCCAAATCTCCAATGCTCCTTGTCATTGCAAGCCTGCCATTCACATGAGGCTGTCCCAAACTGTTCCAAGCTACAAAGCCACCACATTTCTTGATCCTTTCCATGAAGAAAAAATTAAAAGCTAATGAAAAGGGAAGGCTAATATTACTTCAATTAACTCTAAAAAGCTTACCATTTTTCAAAGGCCATCATTCAACTTAGGAAACTTTTATTTAAACGCAAACCAGCATTTCTACCAAAAAAAAAAAACCAAATCCAAAACAATGGAGGCAATACCTTTCTTTTTCATCTTTTCTCTCTGGAGTGTGGTCTGTGGTCAGCTTTATGGGCTTTCCTTTTCTGCATAAGAGAGCACGGCTGTCCCCAACACTAGCTATGACCAGCTCAATACCATCTCGCAACAGGGCTACTGTTGCAGTAGTCCCAGAGATCAGCAAAGTGCCTGCAAATATCACATACAGGGGTATAAATTAGTGATAGTGACTATTTGAACACACACACACACGTATATGTACACATATATACACATATATAGTCATTTTGCTGAAAAAAGTTTAGATAAGTCAAATAATTACAGAAACATAGCATGCTTAATTTATCTGGAGCTGAGCAAAAACAAGGTAAGAAATGAAAGCATGCATGGGCTAAGTGATTCAATAACAAGGTTTCACATAGAGAAGATACATGAAATTGAAATTGGGGAAAAAAAACCTGTATTAGACAGTTATGTACCACAATGTATTATTCCTTCTCCTGAAAGTTCATATCTATTTAAATAAAGTGCAGCTAATTTGAATTTCAGAAAATTCTGATAGCATGCATGTGGGTACTAGGGTAAAAGCACTAAATTGGGCAAGACCATCAGAGGCCTTTTCTCTAATATGTAGGACCATTAATTAAGGCTTATACTGCCCACACCTCAGTCTGACCCAGTTAAAACAGAAATAGTAATCACAGGTTAAGTAATAACAGGTTAAGATGAAATAAAGAAAGTCAATCTGCATGTGCACGTCTACTTTTATACAGTGCTTTGACACAACTTTGTCATTTATCAAATGCTACTAATAAAAACTGTCCTATGAACCACAAAAAGCCCCAACATACTTTCTCCAGAGCATTCCTATGAATTTAGCAACTGACATTACCATAGTCACCCTATTTAAAAAGATGAATACCTCAAATTTCTACAGGGTCAGTGTTAATCCAAAGGAGACCCAGCGCTATATGTCTAAAATATCTGCTGCTACCTTGCCCCAGGCTTTTGCAAAATTATTAATTTTCTCAGATTAAACACAGTGATAATTAAATTCCACTACTCTCCTCTCTTATAATCCAAGCCTTGTTTTCCTTTTTCCTTCTAGTTTACTTCACTTTTAAGAGTGTCTTTCTTGTGATGTCATCTTCTGTCCTTGATTATTGGAGAAAAGAATGTTGGGCTTGGTAAAAACCTTTCAATTTTCATTGAGCCTTGCTGTAAAGTAAGATTATTATGAAATAATGAGCTAAAGAATAAAGTAGCTTTTAAAAAATTCTTCATTCAAGGGATGGTTTGATTTGATAGGGAGGGAATAAGAACTGATTCAGAACTGTAGGCGATATGGGAATAATTGCTGGAGGGGTGGTAGGAGGAAAGGACACTAGTGCATTGTTGTTGGGAATATGATTCATCACAACCATATTGGAAAGCAATGTGGAATTATGCAAATAAAGTTACCAAAAATCCACACCTTTTGACTCAGAGATTCTACTATTTGGCTTGTATCTCAAGGAGGCCATTGATAAAATGGCCATACCATATCACATACCAAAATATTAACAGCAGCACTTTTGTGATAACAAAGAATCATAAACACAGTAGATGCCCATTGATTGGGAATGGCTAAACAAATTGTGGCACATGAACGTAATGGAGTAGTATATTACCGTGCAGAAATGACAAATGTGAATTATAGAGGAGCATTGGAGGAGCTACATAAACTGATTCAGAAAAATGCAAGCAGAGCCAAGAAAACATTATATATAGTGACTGCAACAATGTAAATAGTAAGAATAAAACCAAATAAAACCAAAATGAATGCTGAGAAATTAGAAGGAATAAGGATGGCTTGAAAAAAGAGATATAAGAAGACACCCTGACCCCAACCATCTGAAGAGCCAGGAGGTCCTCAAGTGTTGTATATTGCACGTGTTTTCAGACTTTCAACCCTATTGATCAGTTATGCATGGCTTTCTGGGAGGGGGAAAGAGCAAAATATGGGGAGAAATTATCATGATGCAAAAAAAGGATTATTTTAAAAGGAAATGTGATGTTAAAACAGAAATATTAAAGTAAAAGATATCAATAAAAACAAGATTAAAAAAGCAAAGTGGACCTGCTGTAATTTAAATGGTTTATTTAAAGCAGGTATTGTCTTTGGTGAAATATGTGACTCTCTGAAGTAACAAATAAGTGATTCAATTTCATTGAGGCAGTTTACATATTTTATATAAATATGTATTGATATTTATATAATTTGTAGATTGTAGAAGCCAACAAACAAATGTGATTTTAGTATTAAAGGGATTTTAGGGAAGATGAAATGGCTTGTTTGAAGTGACTGATTAAGAATCAATTTCATAATGATTGTTTTTCAAATTTTTTTTTTAAAACTACCTTGACTAATTTTGGACCAAACTTCATTTTTTTTAAACAAGATAATTTTAATTGGAAATTTAAAGCAAAAACCTCTATTTAAAACTACATTTTTAATCTATGCATTTTATGAAATGACAATTAAATGACATTAAAAGTTTTAATCATGTACACATTTTATCCTTTGTTTTTGGAATGGTCGTAGAAAAGACTCATCCATTGGGCAAGGTTTCTATTAGATAACCTAGAAGATCCCTTTCTACTGTGAAAGTTGAAAATAAAATTAGAACTGCTGGATAATCCAAAAAAAAAAGATACTATTTCTGTAAAGCTAAATAAAGCATGCTATGTGCTAAGAACAGGAGCCAGTCGGTGACTCGGTGGCTAGAGCTCTCGGCCTGGAGTCAGGAAGATCTGGGTTCAAATCTAGCCTTAAACACTTCCTATCTGCATGACTCTGGGCAAGTCACTTAACCTCTGATTGCCTGACAAAATGGATCCACTGGAAAAGGAAATGGCAAACCACTCTGGTATCTTTGTCAAGAAAACCCCAAACAGGGTCACAAAGATGTGACTGAAACTACTGAACAACAAGGTGCTAAGAACACAATATTAATGTAAGTGTTTATTTGCTTTTTAATCAAATCTAAAATTTCCACTTAAAAAAGGTACAGTTTCAAACAGCAGACTTCAAATTTAACTTGTATTTGATTACCACTACTTCTACCTCTAATGTGATTGGATCATTAAAACAGAAATGCTGCAATAGCTTCTACTACCAAATTAAAGGCCAGGCAAGCGACTGAAGGCAGATTCAGATGCAATCTGCCAAGGAAAAGTCGGTGCTCCTTTTCTTTGTTTAAAGTCAATACACAGCAATCACATATGTGAGTGATGGGCTGAGCCTAGGGAACTGAAATTCAGAAACTAAGTAATCCAATTTTACTGGTATATCTTTTAACAAAAAAGTTCAAAAGCATTTCAATTCTACCCAAATTAGTTTCAGTGACCCCAAACCCTAGGATTTGAGTACATTTCTAGAAATTAATTATCTATTACAGTCGCAGAAAAAAATTATAAACTATGTTGAATCAGCACCCATCTTGGTAAAATGTTTAACATAAAGGAAAAATTCTCATTTTTTTCCCTAACTGTATTATTATATGACTAAGATCTTGCAATATGTTCTTAACCCTGGCTAAGCAATTTCTATAAGTCATCTCGACTAATAGGTCAAATAGGATGTAGGAAACTAGGCACCACCAGATTCCTTCACCCGAGACACAATTTAGCAGATCTCTTTCCATTAAAGTCCAGCTTATAAGTGTTCACGGAGTAGAGGTCCAAGTTCCCTGCCACAAATAACAAGAACAGAGGCAAAGAGGAAATTCACTCAAGAATTTTGGTCTAAGAATCACAGTATAAAGGGGAGATTGTTTTTTTTTTAACTTTGGCGAAATATTACTAGTCGAGTTATATAATATTTCAGGAAATTCCAAACACATGATTAAAATGCTCCATTTGGCTAGGGCTACAGATATTTTGCAGTCCAATGGATTTTTCCAGTCAACCTACAGTGCATAGAGTACTTCTCTTAGTTCATTTCTTCAAAGGGAAGGAAACACAAAACAAATATGTATGAACAAATTGTTTTAGGGGACTTTTAGTGTGTTTGATCAGCCAGTCCATTTGACATTGATGAAACAGATTCTACATGCCATATTTACCATCGTGGAAAGTCTTAAAAGTAGTGTTAAGGTTTAGTTACTTCTAGTTATTCACATGTCCATATTCTCACTAGGAAGCCAGCTGCCCCTCTGGCAATGAGCCATTCGGAACTTCACCAGGCTCTTCCTTGAATAAGATACACATCTGCTCACCAGGACTATCCTACAAGCCTTTCCAATGAGGCATAGCCTTCCAGAGCCCCAGTTGTACTGGTCCCCTCCCACAGCATGATAAGCCATCACAGAAGGCCTTAAGCAGAAGATGCACAATTATAGATTTACACATCGGCACAAGCACCTGCCACCTGAGGAGTATCATCTCTTAAAAATATTTTGAGATGGTGATCTTGAAGTTTTTTCCCAATTCTCATAAGTTCCTTTAAGTTCTTATTGCTATAAAGCTAAACACTCTTACCAGGTTTTGCCCGAAATGAACATCTTTAGTTGTTCTAATCCATTCTCTGTTATATTTGATACTATGATTTAAGCAGCCTGGCACAGCAGACAAAATACTGGCTCTGGAGTCAGTTTTCAAATTTTGCCTGTGGAACTTACTACCTTGTGCCCTTGGGCATCTCACCTCCCTGGCCTCAGTGCCCTCGTCTGTAAAATGAAGGGTTGGAATAAATGACTTCTAAGGTCTTTCCAGCTTGAGATCTATCACCTAGCGTAAGTTCAACACTGCTATTTAAATGGTCATATTACAGGGTCACATATCCTTGTTAAATTTGAACACTGTCTTCCAAATATTTTACTTCAAAATGTTTGGCTATTTTCAGGATGGCCTGTTACACGTGATCCATACTGGGACCAAACATAATTGTTTGAAATTGAGCCAATTACTCAATCTTTTCAAAATTACTAACAAGAGTCAATCAATATTTGAATTCTGCCTCCTCTCTTAGGTCTTTCCTTTTAGCTTAGAAAGAAGCCAACAACTAGATAATCAGCCTTGAAAAATGCTGACTTCAATGTTTTTCTGAGGATTGTGATAAGAAAACCTTCTTCAAAGAGCTGAGAAAATAACTGAACCTCCTCACAAAGTCACTGTCTCTCTAAACTACAGAATTTTGATACTTATCAGTGAGGTAGCCCTGAGAGTCGGGAGAAATCTGTGTTCCAGTCCTGACACTATTGATTCTTTTTTTTTTTTGAGTGCTAGCTCCTCATTTGTGAAATGGGGATAATCCAACTCCATCCACTTCCTTGGGACACTGGGAAAATGAAAATTGGGTAACAGACTTTAAGCTCCTCAAAAGAAAGGAGTTAATCAAATAGAGAGTAGCAGTCCTCAAACCGGCCAGTAAGTCTGAAGACCTCTATCAAACACCTCTCTTGTTGAAGCATGGCAGCTTAAGTTTTTGCTCTCTTAATTTCACAAACATGAATTTTCTTGTTAGTATAAAATACTCTGCCAGCTCTGATATGGATGTCTGTTATTGAGTGTCTTTATCCTAAAAGGATATCCTCAATCTCTAGAGCACACTGTCCTTCAGTGTGGACCCTTTTATGCACTGAATGGAGCAAGCAAGTAAATGAAAGGGCAGTGCTGGGCAATTCATCTTGTTTAAATCAATGGGAGCAACAGTCTTCCAGGTAAAAAATAATTTCTCCAATAAGGATCAAAGTTTGCGGTCTAGCAAGTTGTTTTAAGGAAGTAAATTCTGACAAATAATTTGAAATAACTTTTAAAAAGTTCAATGGAATGTTACATAGCCAAAACTCTTCAGGACAATTTTTAAGTGCAGTACAAACCATCTATCAGTTTGGATTTCAACACATGCTCATAGTGATTCTTTTCATTCCATTAAATCATTTCCTACTTAAAAGTGTATTTCAACATTAAAATATCAAACTTTAAAAAAAAAAGTGGCTTCCTTGTCCTTACACACCTCCAGAGCCCTGAAGAAATGTGGATGTTTTACTTACCATCAGCAGACAAGTGTGCATGCCTTGTAAATGCTTTGTCTATTTCTAGGAAAGCACTGGTCAACACAGTTTCCAAGTTCTTGTCCTTGGTAAGGAAATCCCTTTGTTTGAAAAAAATAAAAAGAGCCAAGGGCAGATATGATCATTTTACACAGTTTTGTATAGTTCTATTTAGTATACTTAGCTAAATAATTATAGGCTTAACTATGACAACTTTTTTTCTTTTTAATATCACCACCAATCCCTTTACCTAGCCCTTTATTCTTTTTAAGACACTTTCAAGCTTCATAATTTATTTTATTCTCACAGCAATCCTATGAGAATAATGAAAACATCTGACCAGGAAGCCAAAGGAATGAGGCAATGGAGTGTATACCTTTATATTACAGCAGCCAGAGGGCATGATGACCGCAAGCAGTGTGATAGACAGAGAGCTCCAAAGGATCTGGGTTCAAATATTGCTTCTCCTACTTACTACCTGCATAATTTGGGGCCAGTCACTTGCCCTTTGTAGACTTTGGTGGTCTTATCTGTAAAATGAAAGGGTCACTAGATGACCTCTAAGCATCTTTTTGGTTCACAGACTCTATGACCTAACTGGTATATATTCATCTATTAAGACAATATGGGTATTCACCTGGATGTATTATGGTGGACTCTTTCTCATTCAGAGCTAGTACCACAGCGCTTTCTCAAGGATAACTAGGCCAGTGAGATCACTTATTAGGATTCCAGGGACCACACTTAAGGAAATCTCCCTACCACTAATACCATCACACAATAGTAGTATTAGAAGACTTCAAAGCTACTCCCTACAATTCAAAGCCATATAGGCCATTTGAAATGGTCAAACACAAATAATGAATCCTGACCAATATAAAAAAAAAAAGTAAAGCTCAAATAAGTATTTCTAAAATTCTCATTAATAAGCAAACCATAAGGGGCAGCTAGGTGGCAGAGTGGATAGAGCACCAGCCCTGAAGTCAGGAGGACTTGAGTTCAAATCCCGCCTCAGACCAAACACTTGACACTTACTAGCTGTGTGACCCTGGGCAAGTCACTTAACCCCAATTGCCTAAAAAAATAAATAAAAAAAGAAGCAAACCATAAAGCTTAGCTCAAAAAGAGAGAAAATAAACGTTTTCCATTCAGTTGAGAAACTGTATTCTACACACATGATCAAATGCAGTTGCTGTGGTCTGTGTTTCTTTTCTACAAAGGAGAGTTCTATGAAGAAGAGGGGGAGGGCTGCAGTTACTGGAAAGTGACAGTATTGTAGAAAAAAAATTCAATAAACTTTTTTTTAAAGACAATGGCAGCTGCTTTTTCTATCTTTAGCCACAGACTGACAAGATGCATCTTTCACCCACTGCCATTTTTCATTGCAAATACTTTTACACAGTACAATATCAGTACTTGATAAAAGAAATTTACAAATGTCTTCAATCTGAATCAAAAGCCTATAAGGGCCTTTCTAGGGTAACCACCAGAATCTAGAAAGAAAGCTGATGTACATACATGATATATTTTTTCATGTGTGTTTGACAGAAGTCAGCAGCTGCAGATCCACCGTGCCCATCATACACTGCAAAGTACAAGACTTCCTCTGTCAGCTGCGAAAAGTCAAATCGGTCCTCATTCTCTTTCCGCTTTCCAATCTGGGAGGAGCAGCCCACGTTTTCCAGGCTAATTTTGGGAATTGGCTTTCCATACTTAATGCTTGGTGGGAGAAGAATTGGTTCATCAATGCGGTTATCCCAGATCCCAAAAGTGTCCCATGTAGCCGGACGCCCACTGCCGTCTGGATCAAATCTAGAAGATCTTCGCTCAGAGGTGGAGCTGTGACAGGTGGAGGTCACTCTTTTGTCATCCTGCAGCAGGCGTGATGTCAACAGAGCTCTCCTTCTCACCTGGTACCCTCCGCTTCTAACTAAAGTAATTAGAGCAGCTGTTGACATAACTCAATTCCAAAGAACTTGGTGGTAAAGAAAAGACCAATGGTATGTCTTCAAGAAAAATGATACAACTAGGCAGAGAAGACAGAAATAGACATTATAAGCAATTATAAGCAGTAATTCAACAAGCATTTATTAGGCACCAGTGCCAGGTGCTATGCTAAGTATGTATAATACAAAGACTAGAACAAAATATCCCTTGCCTTAAGCAGCTTACCTTTTACTTGGGGGATGGGGCCCAACATGTACACTAATAAATAACTTGGGAATAAAGGAGGGCTCTAATAACTGGAGAATCAGGAAAGAATTTGTATAAGAGATGACATTTCAGTTGGGGCTTACAGGGAGCTAGAGATTCTAAAAGGTGAATTGAAGAAAGAGCACCCCAAGTGTGGGGGCGGCCTGTGCAGAGGCTGCATGAAGGCTGGGGGTGGAATCACTTACAAGGAGTAGGATAGTTTTGCTGAACTGTTCCCCCCACCCCACCCTGAGCACCCTTTCTTTCTTATTCTTTGTCTTGAGGGATGGAACAATGGGTAAGGAGGGAGGAGAAAGGATACACTAAAATACAGACATGGTATGAAAACAAATGATGATAGATAGAGGGAACGATTTTGTGATTTTATTGATGGGGGAATTTTTCTCACTCCCGAGTTGCCTATATCAACAGAATCACCCTTCTCCACAATGTAAGAGTCTTAGAGAGTTGCTAAGGGCACTGAGAGATCAAGTGACTCACCCATATCAACATAATTTTTTTTAAAACCTTGCCAAAAAAAAAAAAAAAAAAGAATGGATATCTCCCAAAGTCTCTAATTGTTAGCTAAGACTACATCTTAGCTATTGGGATATTTTCTATTAATCATTCCAAAATATAGAAACATAAGTCATATACTAAGGCTTATGAAAATTAGCACATTTTAACACCTTAAAAGAAAAATTTAAAAAAAAAACTCTTGACTTTCCTTTTGTGTTGGATTTGCATGAACTTTTTGGGTGTAGCGGATCTTGAAGAATGGTCACACATAATTAATTATCTAGACAGGATCCAACATACAAATAACTTGTCTATACAAATGATCATCATCCCTGGCCCCTCCTACTGAAGCGCCTCTGGTGGTAGGAGGGAGGACCCCATCCCTACTTGGAGAAAGTTATGTTCCTGGTACTAAGTCCTAACTGACTTTCCTCATAGAAATAAGATTTTAAATAATGACTAGATTCTACAGTAATCTAAGTACCATTTTTATTTGTAATTATATTTATTCTATATATAGACTATACATATAAACATACATGTTTATATATAGATGGAGAGATGTATAATTGTGTGAGGCAGCTAGGTAGCATAAAGTGCTGGGCCTGGAGTCAGGAAGATGAGTCTTCCTGAATTCCAATCTGGCTTCAGCCACTAACTGTGTGACCCTGGGCAACACAGTTTGCCTCAGTTTCCTCATCTATAAAATGAGATGGAGAAGGAAATGACAATCTACTCCACTGTTCTTACCAAGAAAACCCCAAATGGGATCATGGAGTTGAACAGGACTAAAAAATGACTGAAAAACAATAATCGTGTTCCTCATTAGAATGTAAGCTTCTTTGCAAGTACAAATTGTTTCATTCTTCGTACTTATATTCACTGAAAAAATGAGGCTACCACTTCCTTCTATCATTTAGAAATCTCTCATGACTTACTCCTTCACTTGGTCCTGGATGAGCAGGTGGCCTTTCTCCGTGCTAGAGCTAACCACTCCACATGCACCTTGACCTTATCTTCTGTTGACTTCTCCAGAAAACTGCCCCCTCTATAATCCCTACTCTCTTTTATCTTCAATTCTTTCCCGCTGCCTACAAACTTGCCCAAGTCTTCCCCAGCCTTAAAACAAACAAACAAACACAACTTTCCCTTGACCTGACCATCCTTACTAGCTCTCATTGTGTCTTCTCTTCTTGGCTAAGTTCCTTGAAAAAGAGCCATCTACATTTGGTGCCTTTCACTCTCTTCCAAACCTTTTGTAGTCTGGCTTCTGACCTCATCACTCAACAGGAATTGCTCTCTCTAAAGTTACCAACGAGCTCTTCTCAGTCCTCATCCTTCTTGACCTCCTTGAAGCCTCTGATCACCTGTTCTCCGGTATACTCTCTTTTAGGTTTTCATGGCAGTACTGTCTCCGGGTTCTCCTACTCCTTTTCTCCCCACTCCTTCTCAGTCTCCATTGAGGGAATTTCAGCCAGGCTGTGCCCGCTAACACCTTAGAGGTGTCCTAGAGCTAGCTCAAAATGGCTGGTCAAAGTCAATGGTTACATTTTTGTCGTAAGCATTTATATCTCAGTTGCTAATCAGGGCTTGATTTATTGTTTTGTTGTCTAGATTTTAAAAAGGGATGGAGAAAATGCTAATAATGGAGATTAAACTTAGACGTATATCCTGCATGCATTTTTAAAACAGAAAGTCAGTTATTAAACTTTTACTAATCCCCAAGTTTCTATCTTGGGCCTTTTTTTCTTTTCTGTACTTCATGTGTAAAGAAGGTAAGACTCAGAAAAATTTTGTGGGTGGACAGAATATTTGCAGATTGATAACTTGAACCTTTCTACAAAGCTATTTAATCTGTTGTTCCCTAATCAACTGGAACCAGATATCATATCTGAAAAATTTTACACACTTTCCTCAAAGAAATACAGATATCAACCAATCAACAAGTATTTTATTGTTGCATCCCCCCCACCTGGCCCACTCAATTTACTTAGCAATGTACTGGGAAAATCACAGAAATATGCAGACTCAAACATCATAGATTTCCCATCCTCAAAGAGCTTACAGTCAAGATAGCCCATAAAAGAATGAATTAGACTAAAGAGAATAATCTTCATGGTGACAACTGAATGCAAAAAAAATCTTTGCATCAAGTATCTCTGATAAAAGTCTGCTATCTTATATATGCAACTGACACAAATGTATAAGGTCATCCCCTAAAAGACATGGTAAAAGGATATAAACAAATTTTAGAAAGAAGAGACAGATGAAAAATGCTCCAAATAATTATGAGATAAATGCAAATTAAAATAATTTTATGGATTCTCCTCCTTCCCACCAAATTGACAAAGAGTCAGTGTTGGAAGGAGTTTATTAGTGTGACCAAATTGTGACTTCCATAATATCTGATTTATGACTCTCTATATCTTTTTATAATATACAGAAGGACATACTTGCTATTTAGGATTTTTATATCTTCAAATAGCATGAACCCTTGGCAAAAATGAATAAATTATTGTCAGTATCACTTGGACTAGAATATATACATGAATGTATTTATACATTGATAAATTAGTAAGTTGAAGCCTTTTTTTCTCCTTAAACTTAGCATCTTTTTCAAGTTCCTCTAGGTCAGCATTGATATATGTAATATATACATGCATGTGTATGTATATAGATGTATATATATATATATATATATATGTATACACATTGATCATTATAAACATGTGGGTAATCATTAGATATGCATATATATACAAATACACACACACGTTTACATATATATTTTATTTATATGTCTATATTATGTGTGTGTGTGTGTGTGTGTGTATATCTCCTAGGGAAAATTACAAATTCTTTCAAGCAGAAGTTCCATTGTTTTCCTCCAAGAAGCACCCTCAAGGTCATTTATTTCCCTCGACAACTGAAACAGCTAATAGAGAGATAGAGGGGAACTTGGTATGACAGCTGCTGCCCCAAGTAAACTGACCCGAGATCACAGGCTTCTGGAGAACCCAAGTAATTAGGTAATCAGCCAGCCCAGGTAACCACATTCGGTACTAACACCCTCTAACCCGCTGCCCCAGGGGCGCTTGCACAATATCCTAAGTACTGCCATGTTTATCTTTACAACTGCAATCTCAACGACTCGTGCGGGAGTTTCACTTTATATTAGATGATCTGAGACTACAGTCCTATGCATGGCCCAGATAGCTGGTAGGCACCAATCGGAGACACACACCAAAGAATGCACTGATGGCAAAGGACATCCTTCAGTAAACTTCATTAGGACACCATAAGGCATATGGCCTGTTTCCTTCTACTCTGGGTGCTGGGGTTAATTAACCACAAAATGAATCATTTAAAGCAGTGGTGTCATACTCAGATAGAAATGTCTCTTCGGGCAGCATACTGACTTAGAGGACTATAAATGAACCTGATCTAGATCTTACAATTTTATTTTGCAAAGTAATAGGGACAAGAGAATATGATCAATTCTCCTTTAAAAAATATTTCCTGCATGATGAACAGGCTGACTTCAGAAAAGTTCTGTTTGTTCATGATATACATGATATATGATGAAAAGTTCTGTATGTTCTGATGCTGAGTGACGTGAGTAGAACCAAGAGAACATTGTACACAATAACAGACACGCTGTACAATGACTGATACTGACAAACTTAACCCTTCCCAGCAATACAAGGATCTAAGACATCTCCAAAAGCCTCATGATGGAAAATGCCATCCACATCCAAAGAAAGAACTACGGAATTTGAATGCAGATCAAAGCATACTATTTGCTATTTTTTTTTCTCTTCTGTTGAGTTTTGTTTCCTCTTTCTGGTGGTTCTTCCTATTGCTTCTAATTCTTACTTACAACATGACTAATGTGAAAATATGTTTAATAAGAATGTATATGTATAGCTTATATCAGATTGTGTGCCATCTTGGTGGGGAGGAAGGGGGAGAAAAATTTTAAACTCAAAACTCAAAATTTTAAACTCAAATTAAATTTAAATTAAAAAAATTTAAACTCAAAAGCATATGGAAGTGATTATTGATAAATCAAAATAAATTTAAAAAATTAAAAATTAAAAAAAGAAGAAAAAAAGATGAAGGTGACCGCATACCAATTCCCAGCTAGGCTCTCAGAGCAGCTACTTGACGTCTGTGGATAGCTTGGTCCTCTTGCTGGAGCTGTCTGGAGCAGGGTGATGTACTAGCGTACTCCTTGGGATACTTTCCTCACCTAGGAAGGGTCCTAACCCAGAACGCTTTCTGAGAGGCGAGGGCCATGGCAGCGGGATGCTG